CGGCGCTCGCCGCTACGGCAGCTTGGGCTGGGGTTGACATCTTTAAAATCCATTTTCCCACAACAGTTCTCAAACAATCTTTTTGCATGAGTTACTTAGCGAGCAAAAAACGAAGTAAAATGTAAAATGTGTGGTGCAGGGTCCCTCGCAGGGTAGAGATCAGGCCGTCTGCTGCCAGCCACGTACGGTACCTCCCCTGCATCCTGCCTCCTGCTCCTCAGAACTCTGAGGTCGAGTAAAACAAAAGAAAAGCCCCAAAGGATATGCTGAACATTTAAAATTACATTAGCCGTTTCCTTTCAAATAGAAGGCAACTGTAACTGAATGAGGAGGTAAGGAAAAGCAGCTGGTTTGTCTAGGTAAGGGAAAAAAAATAAAACCCAACCCTGCTCAAAAGGCACTGAGCAGAAACAACACATGTTTGCAGCTGAAATGAAACACCACCGAGCAAGCATACACAGTGACAAGTTTTTTTATAAGCTCCAGTTCAGCTACCGGTCTCCACCCCTTGCTTTCATATGCACAAAATCCAGACTTAAAAAAGCCCTTGTGCAGCTGCTGAATAGATGCTTATTGCATTAAACTAAGTAGCTTTCCTCCTGCCTCCCGTATTTTTCTTAAAAATAAAAAAATCTTTCCCCCCTTGTTACATGCTGAACACTTCACAAACAAAAATTTAAGCACTGTTTTATGGTATGTTATTTTAAGGGAAAGGAAGCAAAGGAGAGGGCTTTCCCACGGTTCACTGTTGGTTTTTGTCAGCGTCACAGACTTCCAGTTTCAAAATATTCCCTACATGAAGGAATCTCCTTTTCTGCCTTAATTTAGCTTGTCCATACTCAGAATCACGAAAGTTTCCTTCACCAACCATCACACCCAGGGCACTCCGGCCATCCCCAGTTCTACCTGGAACATTGGGGCTTTCCCTCCCAGGTTCCCTCTCCTCTGTGGGGGCACAAACTTCCCTGCAGCCCCAGCACACTGCCCTGCAAAACCACTCCCAATTTACCTTTTCAGAATAATGTTCAGCTGGAAGAGGTGGGTAATCACATTGCTCTATTTTTTGGCAAAGAGAAAACAGGTTCATTTTATCTCCGTAGAAAGGACTCTGAAGAGCTGCCATCTGGAGAGGAAAAAAAACAGAAAACATTTCAGAAACACAAAGCATTTAATAGCCCTCAGTGCTGCTCATTTGCAAGAGCAAGTTTTGTTCTTCGACAGCGAGCAGGTGATGACGCTGCTCTCCGAGACCGTCCACAGCCACAGTTATTCCGGGATACGACAGTTTTGCAGTTTGCTGGTGCTTCCCAACACCTCCCTCCTGCCACGCAGCACCCTGCTCCCGTGTGCCAGTCGTGCCCCTGCTGGGGCACCGCGCCGCAGTGCATCCCCGCGGTGCCAGGCGCGTCCCTGCCTCCCGCCGGAGCCACCCGCGGCCCTGGCACACAGCCACCGGGCACCACCGAGCCTGGGAAAGTCTCGGCGTGTTCCTGTTGCTGAGATTCTTTCTGCCCACAAAGTTCCAGGTGTGGGATGGTGGGTGTATATGGGGAAAAAAGTACTTTAAAAAAAAAAAAAAGTAAAAAAGCAGCAGGCTGCTCGGCCCATGGGGCAATCAGAAACCCACTGGCTCGAGGATGACCATGAAAACCTCTCAAACACAATCAGCTCTTCAAAAAGAAGAAGCCCTTCTGTCTTCAACGTGTCACGGTTTCAATCTTCTTTGGTTACAACCACATGCAGTTCATTTGCTCTCTGTGACTGGTACATTTTTAATAGTCTGCTACAAAGAATAAATGAATTATTTTTGGACATTTAGCTACCCAGAATATGAAGAATCTTATAAGCACGAGCAATGTACTTCAGCCTTTAAAAAACCCACCAAAATTACCTCAAAATAAACATCCCCTCCTGCCATACGTCTGCAATTTGGGCAAGAGTATCTCAGGCAGATTTAGGAACTAAACTACTGAAACTTTTCCTCATCTATCTGGACTTTCTCCTCTTTCAGTTCTGTTTTATGAATCCAGTATTTGCACCTCCAACACTATGACAGATGTCGCAGATAAACGGGCTGTTCGCACAGCACGGAGAGCTGTCGGAAGGCTCTGGGCAGGGAAGAATTCCTTCCAGGGCACACGGAGACTCCTTACAAGATATGTTTCTATGACACTTAAGTCTCAGGAAGGAAACGGCATCTCCGTGAGTGGAAAACCATTTACACTGCAAGGTCTCAACCAGGAGGTCGGAACCAACACCGACGCATGAGCCTCAGACAACAGCCATAGCGCCACCAGCACTTCTGAGCTTCACCAACGCGCCTACTGAGGATACCCACGGTGAGCTCAGCACCTTCCCTCTCGCCTCCCCCCGCCCAGGACCCAAACCCAGACCCTCCCGCAGCCCCCGGCCCCGCAGGGTCATCGTCACCAGCCCCGGCTGTCGCTCAGGTGCTGCTCGTTGCTCGCGCCCAAGGCAGCCCCGCAGAGCACCACCATACCACCTTCTCCCGAAGCACCACTGGAGAACTGTGGATGTTATCCACTCTGTTCAGATCTTTTTAAGCCACTTTGCTACAAGCTGCACCAAATGGGCCAGCTTTGCGCACTGAGGCCAGCTCAAGTTGATGCTTCTCACTACAGCTTTAAGAGGAAGTTACTTGATGATTATTAGTCTTCTGCTCATTACCATGCACGGTGAAAGCCATCTGAAGAATGCTGTCTTGTTGCTGGCACACACAGCAAGCTGCCAGCAGAACTAAAAAAGTCAATACTAGATGCTCCACTCTATTATCCTGCAGTTAGGAGTCCAGATCGATGGATTATTAGTGATTTGGTGACAGACAAGCAATTTTGATTAGGGCAGGGTTTGACACGCTGCGTTTGGGCTGGATTTACAGCAGAAGATCCAGTGCAGAGGTGTCCCCGAGCCACCCCCCCACCAGCACGGCCGGGCTGGGGTGCAGCCAGGGTCGTCTTACCAAAACCTCATCACCATTAACACACGTCCAAGTGTTAAGCAATGCAGGACTCGTCAAGATAAACTACCCTTGGTTTAAATCATAAATCTATCTTTTAAATAATTTAAAGTTGTTACGTTTCTTCCTTATTTGCAAGACACACTGGTTACTCTGTGAAATTAGTGCAAACATGTCTGAGCTGCAAGGGGCACCTTGCACCAGACAGTCACGCAGAGGTAGCAGACCCTCTGCAATGAGACCAAGTCATTACAAGGAGTAATAAAAGACATTTTGGACAAACCTCCAAGGTTATCTCCCCATGTACCACCAGACTAAAATAAGTTTCAGGAAGTTCTTCCAGAGGTATTTATCAGATATCTAGAGAGGTTTATAAATGGCCATACTGAATATACAAAGGTACCCAAATTACACTGAAGGACACCATGAACTGAGCACACAACTCCCAAAAACAGCTCAGAAAATTCCAAGCTTGTTCAGTTTTCGGTCTGTAATGCTTCATGTAACATAGCTCGAGACATTTGCTGTGCCAGTGACATCTACTGTGCTTTGCTGCAGGCTGTGTGAGAAGAGGAACTAGGCCTTTAACAGGGGCACAACCCAGCGCGTTGGGGAACAGGCACACTTTGACCGCTGTGGTTTCACCACTACTACCAGTAGTAGTGCTAAGCTACTCCTCACAGCCCTGCGGACCTGAGGTTGGAGAGTCACCAACAGGCTTGTGAGCGGCGAGAGCCCGGCCAGCCCCGCGCTCACGGCCTCGCCGACGTTTCTGAAGGCAAAAGGTGAAGTTGTGTCACTGTCATAACAGTAACGGGCAAATCAGTAGGGAAAAAAATTACAGACTCCAATTAGAGATTGATAGCAACTGCCCAGCACACAAGATTGTTCCAAGAAAAATACTCATGGGCGCGTTGGGGAAGGCACCGAAGCAATCAAGGGTTAAACAAGGTCTCCGAGGTTTCAATCCAAACATCAATTTTGTCAGTAAGGTTGAACGGGATTTTTAAATTCCCATTAACTTTTTTTCCCAAGCCTAGTTAAGCGGTCATGTGCAAGAGAGGAGGAACGAAAAGGAAACACCGTGGGGTTTTGGGGTGGTAAACGCAGGGAATTAGAATGGAAAGAGACAGCAGCGGCGTTCCGACTAGAACAGTCGGGTCCGCGGGGGTCCTGGCCACGGGCGCTCCAGCATCTCCCTGACTACACTTTGTGATGCTCCATCGGGGTTTGCTCCTGACATTTGGATTAGAGCAATTAGGGCAGGACAGCCAGATCTCCATTTGAAATGACCACCAGGCAGCAGGACTGGTTAAAAAAGATACAGATACAGGAATCACTGTTAGTGTTTAAATTGACCGTCTCGCCGGGACTGCTGAAGTCATTGCTTGTAGCTATATTCTGGGAATTAGCAACTTATTTTTATCCCCTCCAAGTTATCTTGCTGACAGATATCCACGGGAAGTCAGGGATGAAGACAGTTACTACTATATTGATAAGATTTAATAAAATCACTGCATGATTATCAATGTCAAAGTTACGTGGTGCTATGTGGCATCACATCCCAAACCCCTCAATGTTCCCTAAGTGGATTCCAGTGGACACACAAAGCCTCTGAAGGCAATTTGTACCTTAAATCTCTGCAGCTTATCTACACAATCTATCTGGAGAAATATCAGAAGTGACTCATAACCAAACAAACAGCACGTCCTTACTTTCAAGCCAAATGGAAAAAGAGTCTTGTTACAAGAAATCAGTGAAGACAAAACACAGCTCCCTCAAAGACGTACAAATTTGATTTTTAATTTTCCAAATTCTAGAAAGTTAAGAAGCCAAGTTAGCTGTTTATCTGCTGAACACAAAATTGGTAAGTGTCCAGTCCTCCTCAGAATTTGCAAGATCTCACAGCTCCTGTTGATGAAGTTAAGGTTTACCTACGTAGGAAGTAAATTTAAAAACGCTTCACATGCCAAATCTTTCACGTTACTACAGTACTGCTACTCCTACCAGAGAATTATGTTTAGTGTGCAATTAAGTCAGCTTCTTGAAATATAAGGAGCACCAAGACTACTGTGCCATAAGGGGACCATATTGCCTGCAACAAAAACATATCTTAGCACAACGCTAAATATTTCTCTCTGCATAAATCTGGAATCCCATCTCCAGCAGAGCTCAGCCTCGGAAATGACTCAGAGCAGCCCGACGGAGAAGTCGGGCACCGCAGCAGCAAACGAGGAGCAGGGTCCAACCGGGGCGACTTTCACCGTTCCCCATAGACTTGGCAAGTCCAGCACACCGCGGCAGCGCCCGAGTCCTCGGCTCAGCAAGACCTTAAACTGAGAATTCCTCTCTAGGCCCAGTGAGTGAAGCCTACCTGGAATTGTTCAGCATAATGGATTCCTGGGAACTCAAGCTTCCTTCTCCCTGTTCCCACAGAAGAGTCTCCACATTCCTTTTCAAACGCCACCGGTAGACCCAGGTACATGCAGCTGTACTGTATCATTCCAGCTGTCAGTGTTGCATCGGAAGTATTACAAGCAAAACCATCCTTTATAAAAAAATACAGCTTTTTGATGGTATGTTGCTGCTGCTGCTTCAGGAATTATTAAGTCTCTTTAATTCTTTTACTAGAGGTAATGAGAATTTGAGGATAAGGCACAAAGCCACTCAATTTAAGCTCACTATTTTCCAAATTTTTTTATCAAGTACTTAGTAGCATGTTTTATACCCTTTCTCTCCCTGCTATCCCATGGAATTTTAACACCACCACGGCGATACAGCCACTCCGGGCTCCAGCGTCTCCACCAGAGCGGACCCTCCCTTCAGCAGATCCCGTGGCTGGCTGCTCTGCCAGCAGCACGGCCAACGCTGGGACCCCACGCTGCGGTGGGGACTCACGGGGCATTGATGCCAGACTCCCACATCTCTTTTCCTTAACGAACCTCTGTGCCAAGGCAGGCGGTCAGGAGGCTCGAGCAGGCCTGCCTGCGGCACTGTGGAGATAGTCTTTGGATGGATGCTGGTTGGAGTATAAAAAGAATGGACAGTTGTGGCTTTTTTACCCTCCAAGAGCATTTTCTGGACCACGATCAAGTCCATAACCACACCTGGGCCAGCTGTGCTGCTGCCTTACATGCGAGAAGCAAAGGGCTGCTGGAACTGAGACTGCTTAACCCCTTCAGGCACATTCTATCGATTTATTTGGCGGAGTTCCAGTCTCTCTCGCTGAGGATGCACATCACATGGCACTTCCACACTCTGCCAACAGCTCAGCACCTCCCACACTGCACGACTCGGGTGGGTAACACACCGAGGACAGGGGGTCACCTCGCTGAACAAGCGTTCAGCTGCATCACGTGAGCGTTCTTCCCAGAAGTACCGCAGAGTGACAAGCTGGGAAGACCAACGTTATGGGAAAATTTACTTTTATACTATCTTGTCCTAAAAGGTTTGTTTAATCAACTGGCTGAAGTACATGCTTAGCTATAGTAGTTCCCACATCTGATGTGCTCACAAAATAAATTACATTTCTGTTTATTCTCAAATTCCATGTGGTTACAAGAAGTTGTAGTGAGAAGCAAAACGTCATCAGTTCACATAATTTACTACCCAAAGAGGATGTGAGCAATGTTCTTATTACTAAATATCCCAGGGATTTTTAATTCTCTGGGCTGGGATGAAAGCTTTCTCAATGTTGACATGCACTTCCACTTGAATTAAGATTAGATTACAAATGAGTACAAGACTGTTCAATACCCTTTTATCCCTGCTAAGAATGAAATCACAAAATTCAAGGTACTGTTCTAAAATCATAGCACTTATTTTCAAAATATACATAATAGCTTTTAAGAAAAAGTTGCACACTAAGTGTGTAGTTCACACAAAGACCGCCTGCTTTGTATCTGTGCATTTGGCTACAAGACAATATAAAATCAGAAAAGATGCAAACTATAGTCTAATAAAGTCAGAGAAACTGATTTTGTGTTACATAAAACCTCTATTTTTCTTTATTGAAAGCTCCCAAAATTAAAATATTCCAACCGGTCAGAATTCAATTTAACAAACCAGTAGCTCACACTCAAATGAATTTGCTATTTTTAAAGCAAACACAGTATTCAGGAGCGACCATGAATATGCTGCCCTTGGAACAGCTCTGCTCACAGCAGGAAGAAAGAACGCAGCAAGCTGCCTTGTTTATGATATCCTCAACATCTCCTGGGACCTCCTGAATGAAGGTTGTGCGAGTCCCGTGCTGTACAGCACAATCCCTTTGCTGTTCATGCTCAAAAAGCACATGATGAGCACAAAAAGAGTCAAAAGGTTTCCCAACAATTCAACTAAAGTAAGTCTGACCTACTCAACTCCTGTAACGTATCACATGGTTAAGACAAAGTCGGGGGGGAAAAAAAAAAAAAAAGAAGATACTTGCCTCATACAATAAACAGCCCAAAGACCAGATATCAGATTTAAAGTTATAGCCGTTTTCATGTATTCTTTCTGGGGACATATAGTATGGAGTTCCCACTGCAAAAAAACAAACAAACGAGGAGTTATTGTCTGGAAAAAGTGACTGTGCAACCTGTATTATACAGAAGTTTGATTTCATTAAAGGATTAGGCTTAGCACACATAGCTAATTAGAAGAGACTGGCACAAAAAATTGGAAACAAATCATGGTTTTGAAGGCGTAGAAGCAAATATACCATCACATATAGAGCTAGAGGGCTGGTGAACACTGCTGAAAATATGTTCTGTATTTTTGAAATTTGAGGAACATTTTCTTCCCCTTCCAGCCCTCCAAGTACCTTCAGAGTGTCTCAGAACCAGCCTCCCTTGGATCACTCAACAGTCAGATGTCACCCATGTGCTCTGCCGAAACGAGAGCCCCGTGACAGCACATCAGCTGAAGGTGCACCTGACACACGCGGCACGACGCGGCGGCTCCGGCTGCGACGGGGCACCCTCCCAAAGGGTGCAGGAGACCACCTACTGCAGCAGAGGAGTGGAAGGAACAAGCCCAGCACGAGACAGGCATTCAAAAACTTTCTCAAAGAACCAAGATAATCATTCCAAACTTTAAAACACCGCTCCAACTCGCAGTCATGTCAGAAGCTGTGGGATTTCTATGTACTTCCAGGAGCCTGTATTTTATCAAAAGAAATTTACTCCAGCATTTTGGACAGAAGTTACAGGAAATTATTAATAAATTCTTTACCTCAAAAAGGTTCTTTTTTAAAACCCTAAATAAGTTTCAGTTGTGGTACTGAAAATACAAGACATCCTGGCAGTCTCAACTACATCAAATAATCCTCAGATACATCATTTATTAAAACATCCAAGGACTTTATATGCTCTCTTTTCTCCTGCTTCCCCATCCCCTGTCAATTTTTTTTTTTTTTTTTTTTTTTTTTTTTGCTTTTGGCATTCCAGTGTATCCTTCCCCTAATTAAAGACCTTTCCTCACAAGATGGCAAATGTTTAATTTGCCTGTAACATTCAGTTTACAATTTCTCCATTTGAAATGCGGGCTGCAGACAGCTGAAGACTAACAAGCAGACAAAAGATGGTGTTGGAGGTGGAGGGGGAAGAACAGCCACCACCTTTTCCGTGAGGTAAACTGGGATCACGTTGCACCAGCTACTCCAACTGAAATACTCAAGGCATTTTCCTTCTCCGGGGTGAAAACCAGGCAGCTTACCTCAACACAAACCCAACAAAACGCTGCCCCAGACCAACACCCTTCAACCTTTATTCCATGTTTTTGTCATGAGTCTGCACGCCCAAACCTGGAGTCTGCTAAAAACCTCAACGATTGTTACTCGGAGCTATTCTGAAGTGTAGCACATAGTGTGAGATTAATCCTACGGCATCGGTGTGAAACGTAAGGCACTACAGGAACACGTATGGAAAACTCCACTTACCAAAACAGAACAAGGAACCAAGAAAGGGGGCACTGCCCCGGCTGGCTCACTGGGGGCACTGCCCCGGCTGGCTCAACTGCCCCAGCGGGCTCACTGGGGGCACTGCCCCGGCGGACG